TTATGCGCTATCTGAAAGGTCTTGTTTTTAATTCTGCTGGATGCTTAGGCATTGTCCTCACCAGGAACCGGTTTAACCAAATAAGAAACTGTAAATAATTCAAATTAAAGCAGATAGTATAAGCTGAAATATTTTTTCTATATCATTAAAGTATAGTCTGAGAATTTTAATAACATTAACTTTCATAATAAATTATGCCAGGTTGTCGTCTGAATCGATGATAGCGCAATATTAGGAAATTGAATTAAGATCCATGTTTTTGAAAGATTGATTTAAACAGTGAGTCTAGCGATGATTGCTTGGTGTCAAGAGGATCTTGTCTATCAGTTGTTGAAAAAGAATGTTTGGGGTATCAAATTAAACCTATAGCACCTTACAGTTCAAATTTTAGTTGCCTCAGACTCATGGGCATCTGAAGAACGACCGTCGTTTGTGATATACCAGCCTCATTGATGGATAGTCTGATTTTTCGAAAGCAAGCTATGAAACTCCCGAAAACTGCTTGACATTTTGCTGCTAAATATTATTAAACTTTTCGGTGACCAAATTAACCTATGTCGATCTATATTTCTATGTCTCTCTATATATACCTTTTTGTCTATGTCCTTCTGTTATGGGACCTTACCCATAATAACATAATGGACTATTCCATCCGTGTTCGAGTTCTTCTTTATTGGTTCTACCTTGGACTATCACCGTGGTACAAGGAACCGGACCATAACAGTGGTGACGAGCGATTCGAACTCATTCGGTGGAAGGAAAAAAAAATTGTTCGTCACAGCATAACAATGGCGACGAAGACACCAACTCTCTACGCGGAGGACATGCTTCATTTTTTTTTTTTTTTTGCTATCCGTCGCGCATAACAAGTGGCGACGAAGATTCGAACTCTCACGTGAAGAACAAACAACAAAATCATCTCTCGTCAACATAACAAGTGACGACGAAGAAACCCCTAAAAAGGAAATACGAACTCTATACACAGAGGACTTATTTTTTTGCTATACGTCACACATAACAAGAGGCGATCTGGAAAACCCTTAAAAGAAAAATAAACTCCCTACTCGGAGGACATATTTTTTTTGCTATCCGTCGTATGTAACAGTGGACGACGATTAAATTCTAAAAAAAAAAAAAAAAAAAAAATTTTCTTTTCTTGATATCAAATTTCACTGACAACAAAGGAAAGTTTTTTTGCGAGCACAGGCTACAGAATATCAGGTTACACAAAAAATACGTTAACATGGAAGATCTTAAGTCAACCATTATGGAACTTATCAAAATCCAGTTTGAACAACAACAAAGGTACGAACAAAAACATCTAGAAATGCAATGGCAAATAAGGAGCAAAAACCCGAGAACGAATCAGTTCTCTCTCAAGACGCTATTTGGAGTAATATCGAAGATTTCAAGTACGCACCCGACGAAGATAAAACTTTTGCAAATTACTCAAAGTATGACGATCTATAGGATTTTGACTGAAATCGCCTTTTATTAAGAAAATTAGGCACAGGCGAATATACCAAATTCGTTGATATATCCTTCCCAGAAAAACAAGCGAGTTAACGTTCAAAGAATCTATAAAATTGCTAACGGAACTTTTCAGCCATAATACTTCACTATTTCATAAAAGCTGGAAATGCTTGAATCTTACAAAAAAGGATAGCGAAGATTACGTAACTTTCGCGTCCATTGTTAATAAATATTGTGACGACTTCAAATTATCGGAACTCAGCGCTGAAAACTTCAAATGTTTAATTTACGTCCAAGGTATGATTTCAACCAAAGACGCAGAAATGAGACGTAGAATACTTACTAAATTGGAAAGTGAACAAGATCTGACACTTCAAGAACTACCCGAAGACTGCCAGAGAAGCTGGCATAGCATACATACGCAAAGTACGAAGACAAACAAATGTTCCCTCCTCACAAACAAAGCAAACAAATTTTCCCTCCTCACAAACAAAGCGAACTGATTTTCCCGCCTCAAGAACAGGTAAAACAAAATTTTCTAATTATAATCAACATAAAAAGAAACTACCACCAACTCCATGCTATCGTTGTGGGTCTTGGCATTGGGTTAAAGACTGTACATATCGTGCTAAAATTTGTCTATCATGTAAAAAAAATACGGGCATATTGAAAAAAGTATTGTACAGCAAATAGGCCGCACCGACGGTCTACGTTAAGAAGAAATCAGGAGAAATTCGAGTTTGTGCTGATTTTTCTACAGGTTTGAACGCAGCAATAAAGGGCTACCACTATCCGCTACCCAGTCCTGAAGAAGTATTCAGTAAATTAAATGGCGGAAAATATTTTTCAAAAATTGATCTAAGTGAAGCCTACCTGCAAATTCCAGTCGATGAAGAAAGTTCAAAACTACTATGCATAAACACACACAAGGGATTGTACAGATACCAAAGACTACCATTTGGAATTAAAGTAGCGCCGGCTATTTTCCAGCAGACAATGGATACGATGCTGGCAGGACTAGAATACACAATAGCATATCTGAATGACATATTGATTAATAGCGAAATTGTTGAACAACACTGGCAACATATACAAGAAGTGTTTAAGAGAATTCAAAGCTACGGATTCAAAATGAAAGAAAATAAGTGTGATTTTTTCATGAAGGAAATTAAATATCTTGGCCATATAATAGACCAAGAAGGTAGACGTTCAGACCCTGAAAGGTCTACAGCAATAAAAAAGATGCCAGTTCCTAAGAACATAACAGAATTACAAAGTTTTCTTGGATTAGTGAATTACTACCAGGAATTCATACCTCAAATGCATAAACTTGGCAGTGGACAGATCAATGCCAGGAAACATTTGAAAAAATAATCAAGACATTAATATCGGATTTATTTTTGGCGCACTATGATCCTAAACTAGAGATTATTGTAGCAAGTGATGCGAGCGCCTACGGTGTTGGAGCGTGTATAGTACATAAAATGCCAGATGGGACTATAAAACCTATCGCACATGCTTCTCGAACCCTACTACCAGCGGAGAAAAATTATTCACAAATTGAGAAGGAAGCTCTAGCAATTATCTTTGCAGTAACAAGATTCCATAGATACGTCTATGGTAGACACTTTACTCTGCAGACGGATCACAAACAGTTAATAAAAAATTTTTGGTTCAAAAAAAGGTCTACCGGTGTACACGGCAAATAGGCTACTTAGATGGGGAACGATTCTGCTGAACTATAATTTCAGATTGGAATATTTACCAACGAAAAGAATAGGGCACGGGATGGTCTGTCGAGACTTATACCAACAAAGACAGAGCCATTGGAAGATACGGTAATCGCAGCCCTTAGAAATGAAGAAGACATAAGAACAGTACTATGTTGTACAGTCAGAAACCTCCCAGTTACATTGCAAGACATAAAAAATGAAGCCAAAATGACGAATTTATTAATGAAACAAAAAGCAAAAATAGCAGAAAAAATGAGAAATTTCGGACAGCTTTTCTCTATGCGATAATGTGCTACTTTACAACGAAAGGGTTGTAATCCCCAAAACTTTACAAAAAAGGATACTAAAGGATTTCCACAGAGGACACCCAGGTAAAAATAGAATGAAGTCGCTAATGCGAAGCTATGTATATTGGAAGAATATGGACCAGGATATTTCTCAAATGGTGGAAATGTGCAAGGGTTGTAATTTAAAGCACCGTCAATCAGGCATAAGCCTTGGCCTGAAAATGATCGCCCATGGCCAAGAATACACGCAGATTATGCAGGACCAATTGACGGGTTCTACTATTTAATCATAGTTGATAGCTACAGTAAATGGCCATAGGTGTTTCGGTGCAAATATCCTACTACAGAAACGACCATAAATTTCCTCCACGAGCTATTCACTCGGCTTGGCGTAGTGGACTGTTTAGTAACATATAACGGAACGCAATTCACGTCAGAAGATTTCCAAGAGTTTTGCGAAATCTATCAAGTAAAACATATAAAATCCCCGCCTTACCATCCAAGATCAAATGGACAAGCAGAGAGATTCGTGGATTCTCTCAAAAGAGCATTACGAAAAGTGTACGATGTGCCTACGGAGAAAGCATTACACCAATTCCTACAGGTATATAGAATAACGCCAAATAATGCGACACCATCAACATTATCACCAGCAGATATCATGTTTGCTAGGAAAATCAGATCAGCGTTCGATAAATTACTACCAAGTAAAACAAAACAAATAACACAGTCCTACACATCAAAAAGAATTTTATAATTTATATTTCAAAAGGAAATCTTTGGATTTTCTTGTCAGTGATACAGTGAAAAAATCCAGAATCTTCCTCTTTGATTCACTGTGTTTTTATACGTGCAACGTGTTTTTCACTGAAGTCACCGGAACTTAAAATCTGTTTCACGTTTTTTAAAAGGCACTGAACCTGTCAGAATTGAGTAAATTCAAGCTGTTTTAAGCAGAAAAAAGGACAAAGTAATGAAAATCTTATAGTTCAACTCGTTTTCTAAGATGCAGTGTAGAAATTCATTAGTTCAACAGTAGCTCAACTTAATGGCGCATTTTGTACAGAATCAACTCGCTTGCATGTTTCTACTTTGATGCAGGGTAATTAACGCCTTCTACAATGTGTACTTTATAAAAACGATGCGTTGTTTCCCTTCCGCACCACATATGATGTTCATAGCTTGCAAGTTTATTGTGATTTAGGCTTACGCTGAAAATATTCTCGTAATGATCACCGAAGTTAAGCAACGTCGATCCTGGTCAAATTAGATGGGTGACCGCTTTAGAATGCAAAGTACTGTGAGTTTTGATGTACATGGCTGTAATGGATAACGGCTTGGAATTTAAAATCAAAGAGCCCACTTTCAATTCCAGTCGGGTTTTTTACATTAAGTTACCGGCAACTATCCTTGGGAAAGGCATGAATCCGCCTCTTCTCTCTTGTCACCTATGGCTTAATTAGGATTTATATCGCAAAATAATTATCTCCAAAATATTCTTACAGGGTTACGGCCATATCACTTTGAAACACCAGTTCCCGTACGGTAACCGAAGTTAAGCAACGTCAAACCTAATCAATACTGAGGTGGGTGATAACCTGAGAATACTAGATGATGTAAGCTATGATGTATGGGTGGTGTAATGTATAATGGCTCGGATTTTTTAATCGGGCAGCAGTGTTCCATTTTCCGATGTGTTCATTTAAGCGCAAAAACCCTTGGAAAAGGTATGAATCCACCTCTTCTCCCCCTGCTTTGGATTAATTATGAAGAATTAAATCATTAAACCATTATGTCATAACAAAAACTTCTTACATTCTAAAAATATTTTCTGACTTTAAATAACCTGTAAAGGGTGTGACACTATGAGTTGGATATATGCGCACGCGTGTGTGTGCGCCCGCACATCTGTGTGTGTGTGTATATATACACCCACATATCTGTGTGTGTGTGCGCAATAACATATGTGCGAGAAGATTAGTTAGATTTGACCTGGGTATCAAACTTCAAGACCCAATGACTAGATTAGAATCTAGATAAAAACATGTTTTGAACATATGGCCAAAAGGGTAGATAAGTGTTAAGTACTTGTCAAAATACGAAGATAGTTAAAAGACCGGCTCTGGTCAAAACTTAAAAGGGTCTGAATTTAATGTCCCTGGATCGGATTCAGCTAGGCTAGGAAATATTTTTATGTCCACTTTTCTTCAAAGGGAGAAATGGCCATGAAAAAGTTATGGGTTTATTCGTGGGTGTCCCTTGCCCGGAAATGATGACAGAGGACTCTGCATATATACGGGAGCGGTTTGGGTTTCAGGAGAGGCAGACTTAGTTTAGGTCCGAGGAAGGTTGATTCAGGCCGGAGCAAGTAACAACGAAGAACGACACATTAGCAGCCGGACATTGTTAGTTAGGATATATTTTTTTTTGCCAGCCGAGAATCAGCCCAGAGTTAATTATCCTCAAAAGGTCACACGCCCTCCCTTCTCTTTTCGTCCTACCCAAGTTTGTAGTTGTTTTTTTCTTTTGCCTGTGAGCCTGCCTCTCGCTCGATTCGCTGCACAGAAATTCTACGACGTGGGGTCTATATCCTTGTGCAACGAGTGCAGAGGTGGGTAGTCTCACAAGGGGTAGTAAACCTTAAAAAACAAATCAATCTTATGAATTAAGAATAGCTACCCTTTAATATCTTCAAGCTTCCTTTTTGCATATTTTTTGTACAACACCATAATTCTACGGCAATCACAAACGATGTAATTCTTTTCCTGACTCGTCCTTCCCAAAATTTCAGAATTTTATTTTGCCATTCTAGTTTGCGATCTTTTCTTTCAAATATCGTGTTAAATGAAGTTTCTGTTGAGTAAATTATTTTTTGTTTGTCCAACTTGAATATAACTTTTTATTGTGCTATTAATAATAATAATAATAAATAGCATCTTGAATACTGATGCAGCATCATATTCTTGTATTATAAAACTACCTTTTGTTATATATAGTTTTTGGAGTATAAAGTATGAATAGTGCATATTCCTTTGTTATTCCTTTATTATCCAATGCATTTAATACTAATGCTGACATCAATCCGAATGGATGTTAAATATGTTTGTTTATGAATTGGGGAAACTGTATTAATGGGGAAAATATATTCTTTATGATATTAATAAGGTTAGATAAGTTTTATCATTGCATTTATTTAATTATCCATATTATTTTAAAGTTTCTAAGAAGATATGGCCTCATTCGCCTTAAAAATTAAAACATTACTAATAATGCTATTAGATAAAAAAGAACGCGAAGGAAATAAACTGAAAAATACACATAACTGATCGACATTGGTTCATTAAAGAAAGATAATCAGCAGGAGTCATTCAAATTCTGCCATATTCTCTAATTCTACTCATGTATGGGAGTTGTAATAAAAAAGCAAGAGAAATAAAATGAAAGAAATACTAGTACGACAAATAGTGTTTGATCAAGCATTATCTAACAATAGTAAAGATATCAAATTCAAGATAATAAAGTTGTTTTACTTATAATATATAAAGTAATAAATCAAAATATGAAAGTTGCTTTTTTGCGTGGTTGGATTCAGTGGAAACGAGCGAGTAATAACTGAACAGTAATATAAATAACTAGACGGGGTATCCCTAGACATCGGCAGGAGAACGAGAAACAGTCTAGCCGCGTAGATTAAATAAAGAGTTCAGTTCAGAATTCCCTGTAGGTTATTCAGCTAAGGAAGGCTAAAGAGCAAAACGTTGTGATAATAACACTAGTCTGAATAACACTAGTCTGAAATATTTACACAATAATGAATGTTGCTGTTTCTTACTAGTTTAAAATTTTTTTTTAACAAAATACTGCCAACATCCTTCTCCTTAGATATCGTTAACAGATCAGAATCTCTCCTTAATGTACGTATGATGACTTATCTAAACGAACCCAATCCTCAACGATCAATAGGGAAATATATAGATGTACCATTATTTGCATTCAGCATTTGATATAAGGTCTTGGTGAGCATATGTCGTTTTCTGACACCTTTTATGCGTGCTAAGAAAACGATTCCATTTGTCCTTGGCAGGAATAAATCAATGTAACGCCCCACTCTGACCCAAAATACGTGACATCTAATCATCAATTCCCTTCCCGCATTCGCAGCTTCTACACGCACACATACATTCCTTCATCTATAGTCTTTGATTCGGTCGCAGGAAGTGATTTTTCTCGACTAGTTTTGTGAAGATAACCGCAAGGGATTCTATCAATGAGTAATTTCGGTTGTTAAGACGTGTTAAAGATAAACACGTGCTTAAGTCAACTGCAACGATTAACGAATCAGGTTGTAGGGGAAGGATTTCAAGGCAGGCATGGAAGCAATGAGGCAAATTCTTTTATTTTCTAAGGACTGACAACTTGAGACCAGTTGCAGTTGGCCGATAAAATTTTTAAATCATTTCAAAAGCAAGGTGATAAAGCAAGTAAGACGCACGAAAAAAGTCACTGTGAAGTGTTTACTGCGAAAGAGTCCTTAAATTAAAAAAATAGAATGCAATAATTTCAGACTTCAAGGAGACAGATGACGACTGAAATTACATTTAAATTTATAAAATCAAAGTTGATTGGAAAGCAAAATATCAGAAGAGTTCCACAAACGAGAGGTGCGAGAGAAGAAATAGCATATAACATACGGTAACATATAGCCATTTCAACTGTATGATGAGACCTTACCACCAATCTAGTAACAGGTTTAAATTCTCAAAGTCTAAGTAACAAAGAGGAAAGCTCATCAAAACAATTACTATGAAAATATTTATAGAAAAGGTACACTAGATGTTACGACAGTGAGAAAATAAGATGCCAGCTCAGGTCCAATTATATTTCAGATTATTTAGATTTTATCAAATATCTCTAAATACATAGCAGAAGCATCAGATCATATGTGACAATAATATTCAATGCATGAACGTGTAAAATAAATTCTGGCAAGAAGAATTGTCTTGCACGAAACAGTGAAGCAACTTTCGTCATCATTACTATCATCCTTCGACCTGCCTATGATTGGTTGGAACTCCTTTGATGATCTCTTTCCACACTATTCGATTCTGCATTGTTGTCCCCAGATCCCCAATGTCCAACCCTGAGTCCTGAACTATGGTGTCTGGAGAAAGTCAATTTTCTTGTGAAGACATTTCCAGAAGGATACCATAAGAGTAAGGATGAGGCAATTTCCATGTCCACTCGGTGACAGTGTTCGGCAAACTGTAATCGCTTTTGTTTGTGCTTAAGAAAGATTGATCTCAGTGCTCCGTAAATTGTGTTAAGTGCTGCATGGGATCTCCAACTGATATTCTGGATTTTTCTAAATAGATTTTTATATGCTCCATCGAGTCGTCTTTCAATACGAACAGATAATGTCCAAGTTTCTGATCCATACAGTAGGACTGGTTCAATCTGTGTTCGAAAGGTTTGAACTTTTAAAGAGGATGGAAGGTTTGAGCGCCAAATCTTGTGAAGTTTGTCACACGCATCCCATGCAACAGCTTTGCGGATGTTGAAGTCTTTTTGAGAATCTATTATGTGAGATTCAAGATATTTGAAGTACTCTTTTAATGGGTGTATTACTGAGTGACTTCAACTCGGCTGGTTCAGGGGAGGTTGTGATATATTTTGTCTTACTCACGTTGCAATATAGACCTACCTGGTCTGCTGCTTGCTCAAGTGATTGCAGCAAGGATTCTGCATCCTTGATACATTGAGAAATTAAAGCAAGATCATCGGCAAAGTCAGCTATTGTGGAGAGTATCGACTACTTTGGCGAGGTTTCAAAAAGAGTCCTTTTTTACTCCATGTTGTCGAGAGAAATACGCAGAACGTAGTCCAGAAAAACTATAAAAAGAAAAGGAGCAGTAGACCTAGCGTTTGATTCAATATAATCTTTCCACTTGATGTAAATAGAAAATCTTAGCCCGAGAAGTCGCAAGGAGTCACTCTTCTGGAGGTTAAAATCAACCATGCTGATGGAAGCTAAAGCTATCTCAGATGATTAAAATAAAAGACATAGCCGTAGAGGACACCGGTATTAATGTAAAAAAAAACCTAAAAGAGTGACCGTTCGAGACAAATATCATTTCGTGATTCAAAATTAAAAATTAAATCATTCAGAAATCCTACAACATTTCAACTTGTGAAGACCAGCGTACCAAACCCTGTCAGATGCCTTCGAGATATTCAAAGCATCACCCTTTTTTCATCAGTGTTTTCTAAAACTTGACAGACTCTTTAAGCAATAACAGTTAATTCATCAACAGTTAACCTAGAGAAGCGAAAGCCATATTGCGTATCTGAAAGAAGACCCTGCGGAGTGAGATAATTAACCAATTCAGATTTGATTAGAACTTCTGGTACTTTGCCAAGAAGTGGTAAAAGCTTACTGACCGATAGATTGTATATTTAGTATTAAATTATGCTGAAACCCGATTAATAAATAGAAACTTTCAGTAAACTAAAAAAATGCTGATCACAAAGAAAGAACTGCATCAAATAATAAATCACATTACTTGAAGACTGCCAACAGTAGCGGCAACTAAAATGTATCATGTAACCTGATGATAAAATGAC